CCCAAAACCCCAAAACCCCAAAACCCCAAAACCCCAAAACCCCAAAACCCCGTGATAAATTATTTTTAGTAGTAATTCGATAGATTTTAATAATTAACTAAATTGCTCTCTAAATCACTCAATAACTATGTTTTATTCATATGAAAATCTCTCTATTTAATCATAATCATACCAGTCATCATTATCATTAATGACTTGTTCATCTCCAATGTAGCTTAAATCATCTTAAATTACCTAAAACTCACAATTCTAATCCAATTACTAATCAGTTACATCAAAATCCTTTGCTATGATGCTTAATACAGATTATTTTGTTTAATTTGCTATTTTAGGCGATGATATACTATTGAAATCTCTTAATGGACTTAGAGTAGATTACATCATACGCTAAGTTTCATTTAATAATTAGGGCAGTCGAGATGTGATTAAGTGTGAATGTTTATTAATTTCTTCAAAGTCTATATCATCTTAAGGATGCTGAATTTTTTGTCTAAAGCTTTGACTTTAGTAAATTGACCCCAGGTTTTGAGATACCTAGGATTGCCTCAAACTTATTGCTTCAATCATATCAAGATTAGATGGGATCTACAAGAGTTAGGTTGACTATTGATATTTCATTTGAGAAATACCTCTATCATTAATCAATTAAGTAGGCGAATATTGATCTATCTTCTCATCATTCAAGTGTAATAAATTCATGGATTAGATTTTCTTTGTAAAGTTGCCCTAGGATTTTTAAAATTCCTTATTCCTATGGTCAAAAGCAGAATTCGTAAACTTATTCATTGATTTCAGAGGACTCTATTATTATTGATTTATTGAGCTCTGCTAATCTCCATTTCCAACATAATTTTCTTTTAAAAGTCCAATTATTTGCTCATCATGCTAATTCAGTTCATTTTCAAACTATAATCCTTAATCTCCTTGATAAAACTGATAAGGATCTCTTTCAAAATAATCATCGCTATTGCCAATACTCTCTTCAGGCTAATTTCTCTAATACTAATACTTCGCCTATTTAACAGAATTTTAAGAGGCATAATATTCACAACTATAATTGCTTTTTTTATTAGATGATTAGTTGAGTAAAATCCTATCACTTTCATACATAGATTCTTCCAAGTTTTGATTTTATTTGGAATTAGAATATCTAGTCTCACTAAAGTTTATGCTCTTTTTAGATGGAGTTGCTGAATCATTTGCATTAAAAAACCTTTAATATTACTTCTATACAATATGGATCTACTAGCTTTGAGATGTATCAGTATCATCAACACTTTTGTTGTTGGAATATTTCTAATTACTATATCTCTCATTCTCATTTTCTGAAATAAACTCTTAGATATCTTTGTTATCTTTTGAATTACTGTTTTAAGCATTCATCTATCGATTTCTTGGCTAATTTCGATTTGGATTTTTGTTCTTCTTATGAATTAGAAATAACTTATTTTTAAGTGTATTAGTATTCTTCTTGTTTGCTCTTGAGTGAGTGGTATTTTATTGGGGTTTTTAAATTTCATTTTTAAGATTTATTACAATAGCATTATCGCCATTTTAGTTCTTACTATTGGATAGATTGATATTTTCTACTGATACTTGATATTTGTCCATTAAATTGTCAGGCAAGTAATTTGGATCTTTAATAACCATTAATTTTTGCGATTTTTAAGTATTAAAGCACTCTCTAATATCCAGAGGCCTTCTTGGTTTGCTCAATTCACCTAATCTTTTAATGTTAACAGGTTATTATGGTTTTTCTTGATTTTTTTATTTCTCTAGCTCTTCTTCTTATTTTTGCTTATTAGATTACAAATAATCAAAGAGTCTGCTCTTAACTTTAGACATAGTAGGATTTTATTAATTATGAGGACTAATTAATCTATTTTCATCTACTTGCTCCTAAGTTCTATCTTAACTTTTACGTCTAACCTTTTCAAGATACTTGGGGACCTACCCTGGTTAATATTCTGATTTGATTTTATCTATAAGTTGATCTTTATTCCCCTTCTGCTTATTCATACTCTAAATAGTTTTCTAATGCTTGCTAATAGTTTTCACTATAATTTTCTCTGCTGTTGCTAGTGGTTTGCTTAATTTATAATCTTTATGTTTTGTTACAATTTACTCACTTACTTACTCTTTAATTTCCTCTAAATTTTAATTTTCTCTTTCATCCTCACTAACATTAAAATCTATGTCTTTATTTTAAAGATCTTTTTTATTTAGTGTCATGGCTTTAGTTGTTACTTAGGCTGACTAAGGTCTTTACTTAATCTTAAAACTACTCTAACCTCTTTATTATTTTATCAATTTGACCTCCTCTTCTGGTTCTTTATCCTTCTTTGGCTAAGAAACTCCTTCCATATATCTGCTTTAAACTTTTTGTAATTTAGCTTTGCAAGGTTTTCCACCATTGAACTCAGATGGATTTAATTCATAAAACGCTCTTACTTCTTATAAAAATCTTGGAAGTTCATTGATGATAATGTTATCTTTATTTTCTTCAGCAACCTGAGGAATAGTCTGTTCATAGTTAGGATTTACTTATCTTCCAACACACATCATGAGTCTAATTATATCCTTTGATCCTTTCTTTTGAGCGACAAACAAAGGTGTTGTTCCAAACGATGTAGTTGAGTAAAGATCATCCGCTTTGCATTTTTTAAGAATATGCCTTACACATTCTACTTATCCTTTCTCAATCGCAACATATAATGCAGTTTTCTTACCACTTGTCTGCCTATTAACATCAATATCTGGCCTTCTTATAAGCTCAGCTACTATTTAATCATAACCTTTTTCAGCTGAGACATATAAAGCAGTCTTATTAGAATCTTCGCATTGTATATTAGGATCTATTTCGAATCTCTAAACTAAATATGTTGCTAATTCAAGATGACCCCTCTCGCATGCCACATATAAAGGTGATTTCTTTTAAACTAGGTTTTAGTTAAGTAAAAATCCAAGTGATATGAGAAACTATACTATAGGCATACAATTTTACTCGCATGCGAATAGCATAGCTTTTTTTACATTTAACGTATGGATGTTACAGTTAGCACTGTATATTAATCTCTTAAATATTTCTACTTGACTATTCTGAGCAGCTATTGTGATTGTGTCTTCATACATATTAATTTAAGCTGAAGTTGGTTAAACATATAAAGTTCCACAAGGAATGATTAATTAATCTGAGTGTCGAGCTACTATATCAAATACAGTTTAATTCTTTTATTTTACTGCAAGATGAATAGGGGCATGACCATCTTTGTTCTTATTTTTCAAATCAATTTTCCAATTTATTTAATTGCTAAAGAAAAATTCCAGAATTTCTGGTTTTTCAAATTTGATAATCATATGAATCACACTGTTTCCATCATATTTCCTCCTTTTATTTATAAGGCTTTCAAACAAAGTATTAAAATGATTATCCCTCAATTCAAATTCATCAGGGTTCTATTCTTTTTGATTGTTTAGATTTTCAAAGAACTTTTTGACTGGGTCAATTTCAATACCTCCAAAAAATGCAATAAATCTGTCTTATACTCTTCTGTTAAGCATACATTCTCTTACAATCCCTCTGAAATTGATATCTATTTAATCCCTGATAAACTCCATATTACCTTCTCGAATTCCCCATAATAGCATTTCATAGAATACAAATAAATCCTTAGAGCCAGCGTTTTCCATAATTTTAAAGTATCTCTAAATTTGTGAATTTTCTTAGATTTTTTAAATGCCAAAAATCTATTTATAGAGTATGAGTTTAGCGCTTAGGAAAAATGATCTTATTGATTTGCTCACTCTAATAAGCATAAATGATTCTTAAGCTGCACAGTATTACGCAATAAGTAAAATCATTTCAAATGGTAAGTCATCCAGTAAGAAATTAGGTCTCGTCTAGTTAGCATTACTCAGCCCTTAAATAGTTAGGGAGTTCTTAATTCCAATTAATGATGCAAGCTTCTAGTTTTTCTTTATATTGACTTAATTCTAATCATTCTACTAAATATTAATATATTGTTTCTATTAGGGTATGATTGGCAGTTCTTTTTGATTTTTCAGAATATTTTGAGGATTAGCTTATTATTACTAAGGTGTTTGACTTATGGATTGATTTTACAATCTTAAGGACTCATTTTAAATATTCTGAAGCTAATTATTATTAGTCTATTGCTTAATAAGCTAAGGTAATGCTTTGTATCTTGTTTGAGGTCTTATAACAACCTGGCTAGGAGTTGCTTTAGTTTCTTCAATTTATTTCAACATTGAATTCATATTAAGAAATTTATTTCAATTTTTACCTATTAAGATGATTTAATAACTACATGGGGTTTTGGGGTTTTGGGG